CCTAGCAAGCTCGTCGATGCTCAAAGTCACAAGCTCCTTCTCTTTGTTGCTTCTGGTTCTGCGATTAGGCATACACCTGAAACAGGAATAAAGAAAAGCAGCAAAAAGTCAGTAAACAAATAAAAACTTAGACAAAATCCTAATACTAGAAATCGATAGGCAGCTATAACTCCCCGGCAACGGCGCCAAAAACTTGATAGGGTCAGGTTTTACCCAAATAAAACTACTGCAAGTGCACAGCAAAAGCAGTTATAGTACAAGGGGTTATCGAATCCCAAGGGAGTAAGTAAACTACACTAAAGAGTTCAGGTTCGGATTAAGCTAAGCGGTAAGTAATGAATGTAATGCGAAATAACTAAAGTAATAAAAGCAAGTGGGCATTTTTGAGACTGTTCTTAAAGTTCAGAAAGCTAAAGGCGCTAAGTCAGGACAATTCGCAGGTTGAATCCGAGAGTGTAGAATGCATGCAATCAGGAATGAATTAAAACCGTCTTGAAAATGAATCGCAAAGATATAACTAATCAATTCTCATTGCAGAAGTTATCTATGTCTAAATCACAGAGTTTCAAATCTCTTTGCAAACCCTAACAACTTAAACATGCAGTAATGATCAGGTTCAATTGTTCACAAAACTCCTAAGCCAAATCTCTTTGCACTAAGTTGTTTTGCTCATCAAATACTAGTTCAGGTGATTAATAATGCTCTCACATCTATCAAAAACCTAGGGTTTCGAAATCCAGATGATGTGTCTAAGAAATCGATATGAATGCAAGCACAGATGAAGAATCAATGAATTTCCTATAAGTTTTTAGCAATTCTACAAACTCTTCTTCAACCTTTGAAAAGCCCTAACTTAACTAACAAACTACTCAGACATGGTGATTTGAGAAAACATCATGAAAAGAATAGATTGCATAAAAGAAATAAGAAGTAGAAATAAAGGAGTTCAAAATCTGCTCTGAAGGAGTCTGATTTGTCTCTCCAAAAGCTCTGCTACAAATCTCTCTCTAAAGCTCTCTAGAATAATAAGATACAAGATCTCTGCCAAAAAATAGCTGAAAAAACATAATATACAAGCTAAAACACGATTTGGGGTCTTTTTGCAAATACTGGAACTTCTGGGCCAAAACTGCAATTTCTTCCCAATCTTTTAGAAAACAGCCACGGCCTCCTTCCTTGGTGGGTGACGAGCGTCACCAGATTGGTGACGAGCGTCACCATATGTGATACTTTCTGCTTCGAGCTTGGTACTTCGTGGCTTCAACCCAGAATGCTCCAAAAGGTTCTAAAATCTCCAATTATGCTCCAGACATGCTATAACCTGCAAAGACTCTTCTATGACTCTAAAAAGACCAAAAAAACTCAATAAAAATGACTTATATCATGGTCAAAAACCATAAAAACCATGATATATCACTGGTATACCCAAGATGCCAAGTGGATGCAACATGGGAGAAGGGGAGAAACTATGTCAGGGGGTGGACTCATTCTAGAACTAGAAGATGGAAGTCGGAAGCTTGGTTTGTTTGCCCAAGAAAGCTACATATCACCTTTACATGCGGAATTTGAAACTTTATTATTGGCCATGAAAATAGTCTTATATCTCCAAATCCTTTCAATGCACTTTGAAACAGCCTGCCTGCAACTGGTGAAATTGATTGAAGAGAAAGAAGAATGGTCAGTGTTATTAACAGAATTAGAGGAATTTAACTTTCTTCGAACTAATGTTCAAAACTTTTCAATTGCTTTTATTTCTAGATTACTGAATGTGTGTGCTGACTATTTCGCTAAGAATGCTCAAACAAATGGTTTAAACTTTTTCCATGTACACACTTTTTTTTCGGAATGGCTAACTCTAGAGCCAAATATTTTCGCAATTTAATATGAATACGTGGAGACTTTATGCAAAAAAAACATAGTTACATACTCGTGGGATTAGTCAGGTTAAAGTTCTAATTTTGAAATGTGAAGCCGACGAATCTTCCGTACAATCTAAAAAAAATAAAAGTAAAAGTAAAAATATACGTAACGCCATGTTTTTTTTTGTTTTAAACCATACGTTATACGTAACGTCATGTTTCACATTATTTATTAAACTTTTCATTTTTGGTATTTAGTGCATGAGAAATGTAACTCCAATAAAGTTGTTATTCCAAACATGTTACTTGTTCTTTATGTTTTACTGTTTTTCTTTTTTTGTTATTACTATTTTAAACTCTTCCATTTAACAGCAAATTTATTTCCCTAAGTACCCGTTTTGGCTTTCAGTGTTATGTATAAGATGTTTGAACCATACAAAAGAAAAATAATACCAAACACATTTGACTCTCAGACTCAGTATGGCCACAATGTTCATAAAACAGATAATTTTTCTTATGTCGTCGTTATTATTTGTTGTTCTTGGGTTTCCAGCTGCTAACGCAATGAAAATCGATGACATGTACACATTTTTCAAAGAAACAGCAGACGTGGACTTTTGCTTGAAATACATTGGAACGGACATACGTATATTAACCGCACGCGACCTCTACGACGTACTTTTAATTGCGGTAACGTTACATAATTAGTTTGTAATTACTTATTACTTTAATTATTGTACTTGTTTAATAAAACAGTGTAACATCCACTATTCGTATAATCGTATTGATAAAACAAATTTGAATAACTATAAGCCTATAACTATACATAATAATTATAGTAAAAAAAAAGACAAAACATGAATATTAAATTTAAGATACGGATATCTGCTCTTTTTTGGTATACATACATATAAATACTTAGATATATAGGTATACATTAATCGTAAAATTATTTATCAAATTTATTATACAGCTAGTGAGATTTTATAAATAATGTTAGAAAATATATATTACCAGTTTTATTTAAATTTTGATATTTCCTATTAAAATTAAATATATACTAGGTATTTATCCGTGCTACGCTGCAGAATATTTTTTAAAAATTTTGTATATATTTTAAATATAATAAAATTATTTTTATAAAAGAAATGAGTATTATATTTAATTTTTTATCAGCTTAAGTTTGAATTTATATGTTTTAAATCAGAATAAACATTATATATTATTAATTTTTTTTATTATTCAAAATTATAATCTACTATCAAATTTGTTTAGCTAACTATCTATAAATGTATAATAAGAATAAAACAATACATTTTTAAGTACTTTCATGTTAATGGCAAATATAATTTATTTTTTCTACTAAATTGCTTCTTGATCCTCCTTTGAAATTATATAAAACAAATTACCATTTTTAAAAAATATTAATTAATATGATTATTTTGAATTATAAAAATTATTTATTTATCAAATATTTTTATAAACATATGTTTCTAAAACTACCAAAGTATAATCAATAACATTCATATCAAAACTATTGCTATTGCTTTAGAACTAAATAGAATATTCTGTTTTAACTGTTGAAATATCAAGTTAGTTGAAGTTAAATAATTAAATTTTGGTTACTGTAAACATATTGTAACTTGAAAATTTAGCACAAAAAAAAATTATCTTCTTACAAAAATCGAAAAATCGCATTTTTCGACAAAACAAAAAAAAATTATTTTTCCACGAAACTGAGAAATCGCATATTCCCGCTAAAACAAAAAAAAATTATTTTCTCGTTAAACCTGAAATTTCATTTTCTCACCAAAACAGAGAAATTGCATTTTTCTCGCAAAAACAAAAAAAAATCACATTTTCCTGCGAGAACCTGTGATTTCCCGCCAAAACAAAGAAATCCAGTTTTTCACCAGAACCAAAAATTTTCAATTTCCTGCAAAAAATCAAAAAATTGTATTTTCCCGTAAAAACAAAAAAAAATCACATTATATGTGAAAAACTGAAAATTTGCATTTCGCAACAAAACTGAGAAATTGTTTATTCCCTCCAAAATCGAAAAATTTTGTTTTCTCATCAAACCGAGAAATTGCATTTTCTGCCAAAATTGTCAAATTACAATTTCCTGCGAGAACTAAGAAATTATATTTTTCCGTGAAAATCAAAAAATCACATTATCCATCAAAAGCCAAAAATTTGCATTTTCTATCAAAACTAAAAAATCGTATTTTTTTTCAAAATTAAAAAATCGCATTTCCATCGCATTTTCTCGTCAAAATGAAGATATTTTGTTTTTGCGTCAAAGTCATTTTTTTCTCACCAAAACCAAAAATTCACATTCTTCCGTCAAACCTGAGAATTCGCTTTCTATCTGGATTTATAATTGACTTCTAAAGAGTTGACAAAATAAAATAAAAATGACTTTTAAAGTTTGAAGTTTTTTTCTTGTTTGGCTATGTTCTTCATTAAACCTCAGAGTTTGATTGCCATTGGTACTTTTTCTGCCATAACCGAAAATTTATGTTTTCCTACCGGAACCAAGAAATTCTTTATTCTCTCCAAATCCAAGAAAAATTGTTCTCGGTAACCACCGGAAATACGAATCTCCAAGTTGTGGTCTGAGCTTTTCCTTGTTTGCTTTCGACTTTCATTTTTTGTAAACTTTAGGCTTTTTAATGGGTCAGCAAAATAGTAAACTGATTTTATTAGTGTTAAAGATATGTATTATTGTTATATTTTAATTGGTTCAATTTTTTGCTGATGTGTGAGCTTATATTATGCTTTTTGCATTGTTGTTATGGAAACATAGTTACTTTAAGTTAACCTTATTCAATAAATTTAAAGTTATGAGAGTGAGAAGAAGAATTAGATAACATGGAAAGTATATATTATTTTTTTTGACTAAAATGGAAAGTATATATTTCGGAAAAAATAGAGAGGGTTTAAAAAAAACAATATGGATGTGAAATGTAAATCTTTTTTCAAAACTAAAAGAAAAAAATAATATATATATATATATTGTGACTTATCAACTTTAAAATATAGTTTCCTAGCAATTGTTTGAAAGATCTCAACATTTGTCAAAAATGAATATATTGTGACTTATCAACTTTAAAATTTTGTGAAAAGAATGATAGAATAATGAAGAATGTAAAAATCAAAAAGTTGAGATACGTAAGAAACACTATTGCAATTCTAGTGAACTACTCTGATTTTTCTTTGAAACACAATCCTAAGAAGTTTAACATATTTTGAATCTCCAAATTCAAAGTTTGTTTGTTTGGATTCATGCTTGATTATGATCACTATTAGATACAATTATTCTTCATGTTTTGAATCGCTCGGTTCAAAATTAACTTAGGTTATCAAAAGTGTGGTAATCTACTGGTAGTTAAATGATTGGTTTTTTTGTACTCTCGGTTCAAACTTTATTTAGTACGAATAGTTATTTTTAAAACTGAAATTTGTAAAAATTATTTACGGATGTTGAAGAAAATTATATATAGATTGAAAGCTCAAAACTCTCAATCTTCATAAGGCTTTTAAACTCAACTTAGTTAAGTTATTGGACTTGTAAATGGGTTAAAACAAAGATTACCAACAAATGTTTATTTTTTGGGTTTTTAATGAGTTTGAAGTTAATATATATGAGGTGTATTAATAAAATATTTTTATTGATTGATTTTTTTGCTGAGATGTCATGTTGAGAAAGCTTGGAAAAGCTTAGGTGTCAACTTATGGAGTGACTTATGGGTTATTATTGTGTTGATTACGTCGAATATTTTAAATCGCCGAGTAGATTCGGTATCAAACACATATATATTACAAAGAAATCTCAAGAAACTTATTTAGTGTAATAAAAATTAAGTGATACTAGATTAGTGGAAAATGTAACTTCACCATTTTCTCGTACTATTAAACATCTAAAAAGTACTAATAGAAAGAAGAAAGAAGATAAATTATTAAGACATTTTGATTGGTTTTATTCTTCCACTTATACAAAAATATATATTTTTCGATTCCTAATAAAGTCTTCTCATCAGTTTTCCCAGAGCAAAATTCAAGTAACCAACGCAGCCAAAGAAATCAATAGAGTCCGCCAAAAGTATAGTGGTCCTATTGGGAGAGAACGAATCTATGTTTGTGAAAGGAACTATGTGTATGCTTCCAGTGCGTTCCAAGATGCTTGGGAACGAGGACGAGAAGGTAAAATCTACGCATACAGGGCTCACTTAGCGGCAAAGGCTGGCTTAATATGGGTGCGCCAATGCGAAGACGAATGGAATAAGAGTCCAATACAAAAGTCTCCTGTCACTTTTTATAACACTAATGTTATCAAACTGTTTTCAATTATTCGTACTATTATCAACAAGTTTTACCGGGGTTAACCGGCACCAGATTTACTTACATGAAATGAAATGATGCGAGCTTGTGTCTCTCCGATCTTCAATAGATTGTGCAACAAGACTAGATCAAATTCTAGCTCGTAGGGATACCAAAGAAGACTCAAATCAACCCACTGAGCATGTTGTAGTAATTTTCACTAAATAGTATCAAATGGACATTAAAACCATGAAATGGTTTTTCAGCACAGGAGAGAACACCACAAGTCGTATAGATTGTTCCGATGGCCGGAATTGTTGGAGAGTCGTCAGAGACGAATTGCTCCCTTCGAAATCAAAGCTTTGCAAAACAAGATCCAAAAAATAAATGTCGAAAAAGAAGCGAAAGATTAAGTTATTGGAAGTTTCTTATGAATTTTTTGATGGTTTGTTCTGATGCCAGGATTATTGGAAACTTGTCGGAAAATTGCGATGGCATTGTTGTTTGTATTAGGTTAAAGTTCATTGAGACAAAGAGATAATGTTTTTGATGTAAATGTTTCTTCTGCTAGTTTGGAGTCTGTTCCATCTTCGATGGTATGATATATGAAAACGACTTCAAATTCTGTCTATCAATGGAAAGAAAATTATGTTTAGGAAAGAAAAAACAAAACATAAAGAGCTATTTATCTACAATAACCTTACTAAATAGGGTATTTACTAGAATAACACTCTCCTATAACTGACTTACTATAATAATCTCACAAAGTTGTGCAAAGACATAAAACTCTAAATTTTCAACATAATAACAAAAATGCCATAAAAAAAAACTATTTTCGTAATAAATTAATTAAATAAATAAAATAAAGAAAATAAACAAAAGGGAATTTGTTGCCCGATAATGAAAGTAAAACAGAAAAAAAAAAATAAAGAGGTTAAAACCTAAAAAAAAAAAAAGAAGGCGGCGTCGTAGGCGACAGATTGGAGGATTCCAGCTGCTTTGTAGGCGACAGATCGGAGGCGGCGTAGTAGGCGATGGATCAGATCGGTGTGAAGCGTCGGCGGCGTTGTAGGCGACAGATTGGATCGGTGCGCAGCTTCGGCGGAGCAAAGGTCGTCGGCGGAGCAAAGGTACCGGGATTTTTAGTTTAATTTTCCGGCGGTTCTGACTTTGAGCTTCAAATCTAAGACCGTATTCGTTTATTGCAGAAAACTGTTTATCGGGATTGTTTTAGATCCGCCGCCGAAAAATTATTTTGCCTCTCCGTTGAAAATTGTTTAGATCCGCCGCCGGAAAATTATTTTGCAGAAAACTGTTTATCGAGAAAGCTAAGGTCCGCCGGCGGCTATTTTTTCTTTGTTACGAAATTGCTTTGTTTATCGGGATTTTATGAGACAACTAATTGTTACTTATCCCTTTTTTATACAGATCTATCTGAGCTCGAGCTCGGATTGGTACAAAGTTGACCGGTGAAAACAGTCCGCTCGCCTGAGAAGATTATTCCGGTGAGGATTTACAGAGCCGTTATGGTAGATTTTTAATATATGTCGGGGTAATGGTGGTAGATTTATTCGATATATGGTATATAGTGGTGGTAGATTTGTTTATGGCTTAGTTTTTGTTGGTATTAAGGATGGTCATGGTGGTAGATTTGTTTGATAGTGATGGTAGATTTGTTTGATATATATAGTGGTGGTAGATTTGTTTAAGGCTTAGTTTTTGTTGGTATTAACGATGGTCATGGTGGTAGATTTGTTTGATAGTTGTGGTAGATTTTTTTGGTAGCTTAGCTTTGTTGTGGTAGATTTGTTTGATAGCTATTGGTGATTTGTTTGATTTGTTTGAGAGGGTGATTTGTTAGATTTGTTTGACATCAATAGCTTGTGGTAGATTTGTTTGTCATCGTATGTATTGAATGTATTGGTAGTAAATTTGCTTCATAGATGTATTGATTGATATATATATATATATATATATATGTTAAATTTTTGCAGGTTATATGGCATCTTCAAAGGATAAGAGGGGGCGAAAGCAGAAGTACCCACCGAGATTGTTTCCGCCTGGAAAATCTCCTGTGCAAAAGAGAAGCTTGAATCATTATTGTCATTTGTCGGATTTTGGGTTGCTGGTTGAGGGTGTTGGAGAGGATGTCTACAACAACATTATGCTCGGTTCTCAGGTTGGCGTGATGTTGAAGCTTGCCAAGAAGCGTTACATATGGGCTGCGGGTACGGTCCATAACTTCATAACAAACCAATTGGCGGTGCAAAGGAGTTACGAAATCTGGTCACTTATTGGTGGGCGTCCATTGTGTTTTTCGCTTCACGAGTTTCGTGATATCACTGGCCTAAACTGTGAGCCATTTGCTGATGATGAGTGGGACATTGATCATAGAGAGTTCTGGGAAGAGATGGGTGTGAGTACAGGAGTCGGGCCTAATTGGCATGAGTTGGTTGCTGTTTTTGAAATATGCAGTACATGGTCATCCGTGAAGAAGAAGATGGTTGGCTTGCTATTCACATTGCACGTAGCCATATTTGGTATTCATCGCAATTCGCGGATCCCTTTGGATTGTGCTAAAAGAGTGTTGGATGAGGCAGCTTTTGAGAGGTATCCGTGGGGTCGTGTCAGCTTTAAGCAGCTAATTTCGTCAATTAAAATTGCATCGTTGGGAGGACTTAGCTACACGTTCCAAGGATGTGTCCACGCCCTTCTCATTTGGGCATATGAGTCAGTGGCTACATTGGGTGAAAAGTTTGGGAGACTAGAAAATAATCCCGAGTTATTTCCGTGTCCTCTACTTCGATGGAAATCGTGCAGAGATCGGTACAATTTAGAGAAAATGTTGGAGGAGGAAGTACGTACGCAGCCTAACAACAAGGTATGTTCACTTATATTGTGGAAAGTTGTAGGTTTATGTGATATTAGACTAGTTTCGTTTGCTTCAGTTGATTGCAGATTAGGTGAAGAATCATCATGGTAGATTTGTTTGCTTCAGTTATGGTAGACTTGTTTGCTCAAGTTGTGTTATGGTAGACTTGTTATGGTAGACTTGTTTGGTTATCGAGTTATGTTATGGTAGACTTGTTTGCTTATCGAGTTATGTTATGGTAGACTTGTTTTCTTGCGGAAGACTTGTTTGCTTATCGAGTTATGTGATGGTAGACTTGTTTGGTTATTGTAATATGGTTATGGTAGACTTGTTAGCTGATAGAGTTGTTTGGTAATATTGCAGATTCGGGTTAGGCATCTATTGGAGGTTTCACGGGAGGAAATATATCCGTATTGGCCAGACGAAGATGCAAACACAGAAGAGGATCCGTTGCTGCATAATTTGATAGTTGATATTCTCGAATCGCAGTTGGATGAGACCGCATGGGAGACGGAGGGGATAAGTGAGAAGAAGAAGAAGAAGAAGAAGAAGAAGAAGAAGAAGAAGAAGAAGAAGAAGAAGAGTGATGAGAAGGATAAGAGTGAGAAGAAGAAGAAGAGTAAGAAGAACGAGAAGAGTGAGAAGAAGGAGAGTGAGAAGAAGGGGGAGATGGATAGTGATGATGACTTTGTGGAACAGCCTAAAAGGAAGAAGAACCAAAAGGTAGAAAGTGACTTGAGGGAGAAGAAGAAAGGAAAAATGAAAGAGAAGGAGACGAAAACTAGCGAGGAGGCGGAGAGTAGTGATGAGTACGATGAAGAGCTGGAGATGCTGATAGGTCAGTATGTGGAGAAGGTAAAGAAGAAGCTTACGAGGCAGGAGACTACTAGTGAAAGTGCGCTTTTACAGGCAATCCAGCTTTTGTCCTCTAAAATTGACTCAATAGACGAGAGGGTCAATACATTTATGGGAGTGGCGAAAGACAAAGTTTGTAGGGAATAAGAAGAATTGGATATTCTCATAAGCATATATTGACACTGCCAATGGGATTTTCAATGATTTTCCTTGTCCACCGAGGAAATGGAAGGAAGATATTGATGTATTGTACATCGCCCACAACATCGACAATGCACATTGGGTGGCTCTAGAGGTGGAATTTTCAAAGAGGAAGATCCGAGTATTTGATAGTGTCCGTTGGTTCTATGATGACAGGTACATTTGAATATGATAGTGCCAAATCACATTGGTTATAGTGTCCATTTGAATTTTTAAGTATTTGATAATGTTCATTGGTTATATGATGACAGGTACATAGAAGACTCAGTGAAGCCATATGCAAAGTTGATTCCTCTTTTGTTGAAGCGGATTGCATCACCTGAGAAGCGGGCCAAAAAACGCGAGCAATCCTTTATGATATATCGAGTGAAAACAGCTCCACCTAACACACAAACCGGTGATTGTGGTGTGTATACGGTAAAGTATTGCGAGTGTTTAGCTCTTCAGCACGGTTGGGATCTCCTCACAGATAGTAACATGGCAGGAATTTGGCTCAAACTGGCAGCTGAGATATTGGATGAAGCGGACGATGACTACAATTTGCAGCGGTCTGATCCTAACCCTAGAGGCAAATAGGATGACAGGTATCCACTTTAGACAGGTTCAGCCAAATGATGTTGTGGTAGATTTGTACGGCACTAATGATTTTTTGGTACAGTAACATCGCAAAGGGTCACACTTGTTTTATTTGGCGGTAGATTGCACCGTTTTTGTATGTAAGACCCTTTGTTGGCAGGTTTAATTGCGGCTTTTATTGTTTTATGTAACAATGTTATGATAGACTTATTCCAAATCAATGAATATTATGGTAAACTTGTTCTTAATCGTTTAAGGTTATGGTAGACTTGTTGTAAATCATTTTACTTGTTCTAAATCATTTTAGGTTATGGTAGACTTGTTCTAAATCATTTTACTAATGAATAACAAAGTTATTCATGATATATAAATTCATGCTGCCTAATGTCTGTTATTATTACAATCAACCCATATGAGAACAAAGTTAAACAGTACATAAACAAAGGTAATAGAAGGAAGGAAAGTAGTTTTAAACAAAAATTTAAGTAGTGCAAGTAGTCCTATTATGGCCGACTTGATGACACTGAGAACATTTGTGTTGTTTTCTAGGACGTTTTTTTC